CAACCTAACTATTACTACATCTTTTTCTTGAAATAGCTGTAGTTATGTCTGTAGTTGTGTTAAAATCAAACAGGCGGTGGTAGCAAACACACAATGGCACTGCAACCATGTAACAAGCAATTGTGGTGTCTAGACACATTATATTTACAAAGTTTTCATTTCTACCATAATTCCCCAGTGAAGCTCTCAATCACTACCAAATCCTTCATCATTCTAGTTCATAAAACATTTTTTAAACCATTTCATTCAAAATAACACCTGCCGCTGTTTTTGCTAGCACTAATGCTGTTCAAATACTTATGGCTTATGGCCATACCACCCTGAGCACAGCTGATCTCATAAGCTACGCATGGGCAGGTCTGGTTAGTAGTTGGCTGGAAGACAGCCTGTGAATACTAGATGCTGTAAGCTTGGGTGGCAGTGGTCAGCACCATTGCTTCGCAGCAAGAAGGTTCCTAGCTCAAACCCTTGCTGGGGCCTTTCTGTGTGGAGTGTTTCCATGTTCTCCCTGTGCCTGTGTAGGTTTCTTCATGATACTCCAGCTTCTGCTCAAAAACATGCATGTAAGGCTTATTGATGATTCTACAGTGGCCATGGATGTGATGCAGACAAAAATGGATGGTTGTATGGTAAAAATGCGATTTAGTCTAAAGTGCTTTGCGCAGTCAGTGAGACTAGAAATGTGCTATTTATACATTACATTAAACATGCTTTGTGAAACACAAGCAGCCTCATATGAGCAACATTGTGACTATCACAGTAACTATGACTAAACACGCTGATACTGATGTTGCTAAATTTAAATACTGAATCATTAAACTTGGTAATTACATTTGAAAAAGTTTGATGCAGCCCAGTCAGCAAGATTACAAATCAGCAGGTAATTAAAAGTACAATGACGAATTCTTGTCAGTTGAAATTCAGCATTCAATTAAATCTCATTTATATGGCGCCAAATCACAACAGCAGTCGCCTCAAGGTGGTTTATATTGTAAGGTAGACTATAACAGGGGTAGGCAACTCCAGGCCTCAAGGGCCGGTGTCCTGCAGGTTTTGGATCTCACCCTGGTTCAACACACCTGAATCAAATGATTAGTTCATTACCAGGCCTCTGGATAACTTCAAGACGTGTTGAGGAGGTCATTTAACAATTTGAATCAGCTGTGTTGGATCAAGGACGCGTCTAAAACCTGCAGGACACCAGCACTGGAGGCCTAGAGTTGCCTACCCCTGCTCTATAACATTGTTGCCACATCGAACATTATGATGTTGCCCCTTACTAAGGTTTTTCTATCTAGGATAACACATTACATATAAGTGTAAATTTACGCTGAAAAAAAGATTGCTAATCTTTTATTTTAATTCTAATTTTAATTCATTCTAATTATTTGTGAGCACAACATAAAAAATGTCACCTTGTGATTATTTATTTGCTCCATGGAGCCAACAAAGGACTCCCAATCTGAAGAAAAGGACTTTTCTTTGTGACTGATATAAATAGCCACCCAATCCTGGACTGTAATCAACGCTGACTACTGTACATGGCACCATAGACAGTATAAAAGATGGACAACCGAATCCTGGTTTAGCTCAGTGGGATGAGCCATATGAGCAGAGAGGAGTAGGCCTGAGTTTGAGTCTGGAGCCCTTTGCTGCATGCCTTCTCCCCTCTCTCTCTTCCTGCTTTACTGTCTCTATTGGATAAAAGCTAAAAAAAATTTAAAATGATGAATAACGAGTTGCAGTAGATCACTGCCGCTCCCTGAGAGTTTTTCCTTCCCACTGTTACCAAGTGTTTGCTCAGTGGGTCATGTGATTGTTGCAGTCTATTATAGTAGGGTCTTTACCTTACAGTATACATTGAATTGAGATGACTTTGTTATGATTCGCCTCACCAGCAGTTATTTGATCTGTGATTACTTGAAGTTGCTGAATGTAATTGAATGTCAGTGATCGTTCTGGTCACCGCATTGGTGTTAGTTGCTGTTTAGACTCTCTTACGCTACACAGGAGTGCTGAACAGCTCCATTTTCAGAGGGGAAAAAATCTGTCACCACAGTCTCATGTCTTGAAGACAACCTGCAGTGAATTCTTTGTTCGGAATAAATAAGATTTGAATATTGGTTCTAGTGGATATTCAAATATTTTGGACTGTTTTTCAATGCACTTTTCCAGCATATTCACAGTTTAATATGCCAAATAGTCAAACCACAGCAGGAACTAAGTATCAGGTCTGTCTGAGGCCAGCTGAATGACAAAAGCTGCTTCGTGTATAGAGGAATGTAAACAAAGCATAATGCTCCATGTGATTAGGAAGCATCCAGAGGCTGGTATGATTTAGATGAACAGATAAATGCTCAGAGTCTTTAGACGGAGCATGGAAAATTGGGAGATGGGTGTCGAGAGATAAGGGAAGCAGCACAGCACTCTGCAACAACATGTAAAGCTAACACAGACAGCCCAGTTTTGCTTTCCCACGGGATGTACAGTAGGTCCCACTGAAAGACACACACACACACACAAATATAGTCAAAAACACAGAGATCCCATCTGCCCCAGCGTTTTAATCAGCTTATCACTCCCAGGGCCATTCAGAACGACTATATCAAGCTCTGACATACATTAGCGGTACTACAGGGATCAAGCGATATACAATCGCTTGATCCCTGCAATACTCCTCACGTCACACACGTAGTCACACACGCAGTCACACAAGTCCAGCACAGTTGTGCATTCATTTGGCCTTAAGTATGCGTGCAATGAAAACATGGATCCCAAAAGGATTGAAAACATCATCTGTGTGTAAGCGCCACAAAAGTCATCAAACATGCTAACGCACTCACACAAATACAAACTCTGTGCGTGTGCTTGTGTATTCTGACATAGTGCCAAAGCCCAGCTGATCTCTCAGTAAATATGGACATATGGTCAGCCAGAGTGGGGAGAGAGGTAGCATGAGGATGACACAGAGATGGTTCTTCGTGTGTTTTCATTTGTCTGTGGGGAGACCACAGCAGGGGGAGACATCTTATCCTCTCGAGACATGTGTTGCTCTCCCAAAGCTGAAGTGCTTAGCCTTTTTGGACTCTTTACATCAGCCCATACCACCAAACCCTACCTCACACAGAGGAACAGGTCAGAGGTGTCCGCTCTTGGTTACGTAACTACTCTATTATGGAATGAAAACAAGGGAATTGTTGTGCCAGACTGAGGGGCTTGTTATGTAAGGCCCAGAAGATGTGATGCAAGATGATCAGCTTGGAATACTTCCTGGCAGCTGAAGTCAACCTGTGACCTCTGTCTTTCTTTCTCTATATTTGTCAAAAACCCAGGGCTGCTGCCCTGTTGTCCTTTTTATTAAAGAAAATTAATCAGTGTAGTTAACTTTTCAGATCTTTTATCTAGCTCTTCTCGTAAAAAAGTGCAAACACAGTGACAACTAATTTTGAAAAATAAAGTAAAACAGACTTAGAGTGGCACTCACGTGTGACCTAAAAGTCAATTTAGCAGAAGAACAGATTAAAGTTACAGAAATGACTTAGTTCTTCTTTCACAATGCTATAATGGCACCACATAGAGAAATTAGCAGCACTAGCTTGACAAACCGACCAACTGCTAATATCCTTGTGAATGTAGAGGGCAGAAAAGCATGCTCAATCACATTACTCTCTGTTGATTTGATCAAAATTTGGCTAAAATTAGCACTGAATTTGGATGACAAATGCAATCCAGTAACATCCACCTCCCAGTAATCCTGTCCCTACTCTTCAGAAGATCCATCCATCCATCTTCTTCTGGTTATCAGGGGCCAGGTCACAGGGGCAGCAGCCTAAGCAGAGAAGCCCAGATCTCGCTCTCCCAGCTTGTCCAGGGGATCATCAAGGTGTTCCCAGGCCAGCAGAGAGATATAATCTCTCCAGCATGTCCTGGGTCTGCTCCAGGGCCTCCTCTCGGTGGGACATGCTCGGTACACCTCGCCAAGGAGTTGCCCACGAGGCATCTTGTCAGATGCCCAAACCACCTCGACTGGCTCCTTTCGATGTGGAGGGGTCCTGGGTGAGGGACCAGACAAAGAGCGACTCAGAAGACCCCCTATGAGCAGAACACCAGGGGAGCAGTTCACCCTGGATAGGGTTACTGGGCCCTGCCTTGGAGCCAGGCCCAGGGAGGATGAGCCCATGTCCCCAAATACGGGACATGGGCTCATCCTCCTGCAGGCCCACCACCAGCATTGTGAGCCGGGCGGCGACCAGGAGTGGAGGCCCTGGCAGACCGAACCCCGGCTACCAACACTGGCAATTGGCACATGGAATGTCACCTCTTCAGAATATGATGTACGTACTGGACCTGTGGCATCTACAAACCAAGTTGTATTTTGCTAATATTATATCACTGAAAGTACTATTAGCTAATATTGTAAGTAGTAACAAAGTAGCTGGGCAAACCATAACCAAGCTAGCATAACTAGCTAAAATAACTAACATTATTGGGATGGAAGAAGCATTTGTAACAATGTGGCATTACTTCAGTGTTTATAGGCATTCTGTAACATTAGGCACATCATTAATTAAGGCTATCGGCTATCTTATTTTTTATTTCAGATGTCTGTTCAACTGAAATAATTACATTTTGATGGTGTCAACTAAGCCTGTCATACAGTATCAACAGCAATTGGTCAATGGGTTTGTTTTTCATTTTAAAGAGCTGGTTGTTGAAAACTAACAATGTGCTGACCAAATGTTGACTAAGTTAGCCTCGGGCTAGTTTTCTCTAATTTAGCATGAATGATCACCTGGATTCAAGATAAACTGATGAAAATTTGTTGTTTAAAGGTCAAAGTCGGTTTAAGTTAAGACTTGCCCCACTCTTATTTCAGAAAATAAGATCACAGAACATCTGATACAACCAAATACTTACAAAATGAAGACTCAAATAATAACAGAATTTCAAGCAGATGTCAAACAAGTGTTGACATTATATCCAATGATATGGTTCCCAAAGTTCTGCAAAAACACTTCTGGTCATTCAGCAAAAAATAAATAAAGGTTTTTATGATTGCATTTCATATTTGGTTGGTGCTCACCTTTCTTCTACACTATAATGGCACACATGACTAGTTGCTGGAAACATTACCCGATTCCTCGGTAGTAACATTTTCATTGTAAGTTAACTTACTGCGATTTAAAGGAATACCCAGCTGTTTTGACCAAGTTACCGTATGCTCAGAAGTCCATTCAATTCTCGCACAAGTCTTTACCCCAATTTTCTTTCTTGTTATTTAGCTCCATTCACAGGCTTCACAGGCCATTGGTCAGTTAGATTTTCTACTTCTCTCCTTCCAGCTCAGTGTTGCTGACTGTTCATCAGAGCTGCTTGGGAGATGAAGCAGGCTGCTGTCGTGATGCCCAAACCCAGGTTCCAGGCAGCAATATTTATCATTTGCAACAAAGTTCCCCACTTCATCACACTTCAACTCTCTAGCCACCCACACACTAAAAACCAGTCAAGAGAATGTCAATCAAAGCTATGTTTTGGCAGACATAATGAATGAGACCATACCAGGGTTTGAAAGTACTGGTTTCAGGCATGAAACAAGAACCTCAGTCCAGCTGTTTGAAAATGCCATAACACAGACATTAGAAACCAGAACTACTCATCTGAAGTGGTGTTTGATCTGAAGAGTTGGTCTGGAGGGGTGATGAAATTATAGTTTACAGTGAACTGGATCCCAGACTGTTCAAAAACCCAGGATGGTTGAGTTGAAACTAAATGTTATTCCTTACAAAACATATTAAAGTAAGTTTATTCATCATTAGTACAAAATATTCTTACACTTCCGGGCTTTGACACTGCATCTTGCCTGAATTGTTGAGTATATTTAATATGTTCTGGAAACTCTCTGCAGCTTTAGGATCAAACACTTATGTGATAAAATAAATCTATCAATTACAAATACCCTAACAAGTCCACAACTGAGTTCTTAGTCTTTAAAGCGCACAACTCTCGAGAACTAGCATACATCTTGCACCACATGCATGTTTATTTCAAGTCAGTTGCAGTGGAATCAAACAATAACAGAATCACTGAGGAGTGTTTCAGGCTACTCCAGCATGAGCCACTTCTCTGCACGTGTCCTTTGATCCATAAAGCACTAAGCTTTTCGGTCACCTTCCAAACCCCAAAAGCAGAGATTCTGGAGTTAGATGGAGTTTCAGCTTTTGATTGCAAAGCTGCTGCTAGAAATGGGCCCCTTTCACACTGCCTCCCCTTAAATAAAGCAGTTTAAAGACCTAAAAGGTCCAGATCTCTGAAAAAGGTGTCACAAATGGCACAGTGAAGGAAAGTCAGACTTTATCTACACTGCAGTTCGTTCCGTCTCACTAAATATCCGTTTCAGTACTTTTGAGTAAAAACATAACAGTAGCTCCTAACCTGGTGTTACTGATTACAACTTGCTCAGCAATTTTGTGCTGATGTCAGATTGCCATGTGTCAATTATTCATGTTGAAATATAATTTAAAGCAGACCTGCTTCAAATGAACTGAGCTGGACTCGGCAGCAGCCTATCATAAACACCAAATAAATCAGAGGAGTGACTGTTTGGAGCCATATGCTGGAAGCACCACCATCTGCCTTAATATTTAGAGAGAAATAAAGAAAAACCACGAAGAGTAACGTAATTGAACTTTTTTTTTTTTTTATTAACTGCTCAGAATACACCATGGTAAAGCATTTTCCATCTCTCATCTCTTGAAGATTCTTTGGGCATTGAGTGATGGACTCAACAGCATACTTTGTTCACCACCGTCACAGCTCCTGTGTTCTCCGGCCCTCTCGTCTGAGGAAACGTGACCGCCACTCACACTGCTGGATAGCTTACGAAGGCAGTAGATGCAGAGGAGAACTCGAGAGAACTCACACAGGGTGAGGGAGGAGACAGACCTCTTGTTCCCAGACAAACAGGAAGTTGAATAAATACACAACAGTCTCACTTTCTGTGCTCCCCACAGAGAGACAGGTGCAACATTCACACTTTGCATTTGTCTCCTTCCTGGATTTAACTGTCATCCTACATATACTGTGATTCTAGTAAACACCATCAGATTGCACTTAAGAACAGAGATTGAATTCTGTACACAAAGTCATCCAATATTAAAAAATACATTAAATTACATTTTCCAAATAAATATTGGTCCATTTTGTTAGTATGCCATCTTCCTGAGACACTTTCAGAGCTGCAGACATATTCATACAGCAAAGATAGCTTTTCTTTTGATCCATGAGTATTCTCTTTTCAGTCTTCCTTTCATCCATCTTTTCGTTTTTCCCTCCAATTTTTTCCCACCCTGGAGGCTAAATATCTTTGTCATGTTACACGTACTTCAACCATCTACATGTGAGCTCATCCTTCATCATATGACTTGCTCTCATACGTGCAGGGACATACACAGCAAACTGATTTCTCGGGCTGCACCAGCACAGCGTGAGCCACGATGTGAGAAAGTGTTGCGGATGCGCACAATTAGAAGACGTTGCACTCCGATATACAGACAGCACTAACTGTAATTGACCTGAACGTGAGTCAGTGCAGCAAACTTCTGTGCAAGGAAGACGTGTGCTTGATGACATACCCTAAAATATAATGTATACAAATGATTCACTTGCATGCTGACACAAACGTGTATAATAACAGTCCAACAGCCTAAAAGGTTTTTGAAAACAAAAAACAGGAATATGATCGTAGAAGCTTTTTGTGTGAAAAAGTTTCACAGTATCAACGTGGTTTTCTTCCTGGCTTGCTCAGTGGCAGTCTGCCTTTGTGCCAAAACACACACACGCACACACACAGACACACACACACACACAGAGTACCTTTACATAAGGAGACCCTATCGCAATCATCCTCTGCCTTCATCCTCACCATTCTCTGACTATTATTGCTTTCAATACCAATATTGTTATACAAGACCTACAAAAGGGAGAGGGGGGGGGTGCATCTTCCGCTGCAAGTACTGACTTGCAGCCCATTTCTAGACATCTGATGTGAAATTCCGAGAACAAAAAAGAAAGTCTTTACAGGAAACACATCAACTGCAGGATTATCCGTATCTGTAACGTAAGGCAGCAAAAGATGAACAAACAGGAGTCCGAGTCCCTGACGGTCTATACGTTAGAGACGGCGTTGTTAGAATCTCTCGCCTGTCGGATGCCGTACAGCCACTTGATGACTCGAGCGTTCCTCTCAATGACAGAGATGCCATACGGGACCCGCTCGTTGGCCCTTGACGGACCGTCGTCTTCGTCGTCCTCGTCCTCCCTGACCCGGTCGTCCCCACACTCCGAGCTGGGCGTGCTAACGCTTCGGAGCTTGGAGACTGACACAATGTCTGAGTTGGCCCTCGTGAAGCGCTCCACCCCGCCCATTCCCTCCACCTCCTCGGGGTCTAACCCGCAGTAGTTAAAGAAACGCTCCAGGTCGGCTGTGGCACGGGAGTAGCGGTCGCTCAGGTCCGACTTGGAGCGGTGCAGTGATGGGTGCTTGCGGGCAGACCCTTTGGAGCTGGCGTTTGAGATGCGGGTGAAAGCGGGTGAGGCTGGAGGGATCATGCCTGCTCGGACTAGCATTGGACTGGGTGGCAGGTAGGCTGAAGGAGCAGGGATGGCTTGGGATGACTGAGGGAGGGGTTGCGGTTGATTCTGAGAGGGGGGAGGGGGTGACGGGGGTGGGACTTGGGGGTGTGCGACTTGGCCCTGGGGTGTCTGTCTGGGCCTGAGCTGTGGCTGCAGCTGAGCTCTCTGGGGCTTCCGTATCTCAGCATGAGGCCGAACGTCCACCCTGCGTACTGTCACCGAGTTAGGGGAGCTGTAGGGAACTGGAACGCCAAAGCGGGGGGCGCGAGCTGGCACAGGGGGTGGACGTCGAGTCACTTCTGCTGCCGCCGTCCGAAGATGATTGTTGAGTGGAGAGGAGGTGCAGGAGGAGGTGGACGATGAGTTGGCGAGGGCGTGATTCAAAGGTTTGAGGTTGTTGGAGAGTCGGCTGCTCCTCTCCTGCTCTCCTGAAAGACTGCTACTGATGCTCTTAGCTCCCGATGACGGAGATGACGAGGAAGGGGAGGTGGAGGAAGAGGACTGGGAACAATGTGATGGTCCATCACATACGTCATTGATTAGGTTATTTAGAATATCCAAGTTTAGAGCAGGTCGTCTCCTGTCTCCTGCTCCCTGCCTGCCTGCAGCGTTCTCCCCCTCAGCCGGCGATCGGTTAACTTTCCGGGCTGGAGGGGTGTTGATCATCATCCCCGAAGGGACGAGGGGCTTGCGGATGATTGGAGGCTGGATGGGGGCCTGGCGGGTGAGTGCCACCTGCTGGCTTTTAACATACTTGGCCTTGTCGGCCTCCAGGCGCTCCACGGCGCTCAGTTTGCGGGCCCCGGGCTCGGCCTGTCGGCGGAAATAATCCGGACCCTTATTGAGTATCCTGAAAGGCATGGCAGAGGTAAAGGGGACCCCGGCCAGACGGCCATCTGAGGGCCGCAGGGTCTCCACTGGCATTCTGCACGAGCTGGACAGAGAAAATAGAGATTTTCCATGAGTTACAAGTAATTGGAACATAAAATAATTCACTTGTATGTGAAAACAGTTTTACAGCTTCATGGTCAGACACTAGCTGACAGGAGGAGAGGCAGGCAAGCACCTGGCTTTAGTGGTCAGTGAACATCCTTTTAGAGCTCCCACACATCCTCTCTAAGCTTAAGGGAAACAAAAAAAAAAGGGCTCTTTTGTACTCTTTTTCTCCCCACTCCTCCCCCTCTCACACCCGTGCTCTCAGAACCCCATTTAACTTCCTTACCGGTCGCTGTGCTGCTCCTCTGCCTTTCGTCTGTCCTCCACGACACCTCTCTTGCACTTTTATTTGTCCCTTTTCCCAGTCCGGGCTCAGTGAAAGGCTACTTGCGAGACAGGGTCAGTTGGGGTCAGATCCTCCACACCAGCCTTGTGCAGACCACCTCTATTAACTCAGCTGTGATCCAGAACAGTGAGAGACTGTGGGTCAGGGTCAGTCTTTTTCTTTTTTTTTGTTTCTTTAAATCCAAAAGGCAAGTCTTGTAGATCAGTCGTCAGTTACTCAGACAACACCACAGTCTCTCTGATCCTCTTTACAATCCTGTTTAGCCCCAGCCCGCCTGTCCAGTTGTGATCAGATCCAAAAAGCCGGCCGGCAACTCAGCAGGAGCGCCCTGTAGTCCTGGAGAGGGTTAGAAAGAAACAAGTCCAAGTCAGATAAACCTCCACTTTCTTTCCACCGCTTAATACCATAACGCATCCACACATACTCTCTCTTTTTCACACATGCACGCACACTTCTCTGGCTGACAGACGGGGACTCTCTTTAACACTGAAGTGGAGCAGACGGGACAGGCTTTAATACAGAGTCTGGCTCCTCCCAGCCAGCCAATCGCATGTCGCCGGGAGACTCGGAGGGGTACAAGGGGCGGGCTGGGAGGCGAGAGGTGTGCTCGCATTGGCTAGGCTCAAAGGAGATCCTGACCAATTGGGCCCCTCCCCCTGCCTTTCAAGCACAACAAAACTGAGGCAGGGCTTTCATTCAAATGAAAATTCTTTGAAAGGGAGAAAGGGGGGAGAGAAAGGGGACGGTGGGGGAAAAGAGGGGCACCGCAGATGCAATTTTTACATTGACTTGCATCAAGCTCAGTGGGGTGCTATGAAAACATGTGAAAAAAAAAAACAAAAAAAAAAACTCTGAAAGCCTGCACAACTGTTCCTGCTGCTGAGCTCTTTGTGTGGCTGTTTGTGTGTTTGCATTTTAGCCTAATGAAGACAAAGTAGATGAAGATCACCGAAACCAAACCTGATTCAGCTTTACAAAAAAAAAGAAAGAAAGAAAAGAAAAATAGTGTAAGAACAAAGTTTAAACAAAGAGCTGGGACAAAGTTTTTCCTCTGCCGGAGCACAATTAACTTGTGGATTATTTCTCTCAGTTTCAGGGCTTTAAAACACTGCTAACACACATGCTGTTCATTTATTTCCCCCTTCAATTCCACAGAAAAAAAAACAAAAAAAAAAAAAAAACAATCCCACTCTCCCCCTCCTCCACACCTCTTCCCTGCTGCATGTTATCATTTACAGCCTTACACTCCAGGGTTACATCACATCCAGATAGACGGCACGGTGCGTCCCCTCCCCCACCTCCACCTCTTCTCCAGCACGTCTATCCACACATTTTTAATTAATCTTTTTATAGCCGTCTTCCTTCCCTGTCTCCCTCAACATGTGACCCTGTTTTTCCCCCAACATCTCGCCCCGTCTGACTCCCTCTTCACGCTCACATCCACAAACAGCAGACCAGCAGCAGACGAGAGAGAAAAACTGACAGCTTACACTTAAAAAGAAAAACGCACACACACGCTTAGCTTTCATCTTGTAACAGACCAAAGAAGAGTTTAAAATAGCCTACCTCAAACTACTCAAACTAAACACTTTTGCAGCACAAAAATAAAAACAGAAAAAAAAAAAAAAAAAAAAAAAAAAGATTCCCAAGCATGAGTGAGACGACCTGAAGCTTCTGCACAAAGCCTTTGGGAATATATGCATTCAGGGGATGGAACAAAAAAAATAATAAAATAAAGAGTCTTTCATGAAAAACACAATACAGAGAAAGCTTGAAGTGAGCGCAACGTAGGAAAAGAAAGGAGAGGTGGATTAGCGGACAGAAAGTCACGAGATGACGTCAGCACAGACTTGTCTTGGTGTCCTAAAAAAGTTCAAACCACTGCAGGGAAGCAGCTCTACTGTATTTTTTCCACATGTTCATCCTTATCATAACTTATCATAACGCTCAATGCAACTTAACACGGTTAAGCTTTAACGCACAACACGTCCAGTTATGTGACACTATGGTGGCGCTCCACCCGCTAATGCAAATGCCTGCAGCGCACAACAGTAAATACACTGAAGACCACAACCCACCTGGAGCCACTCACACACTCCCCGTCACTGTGCTGATTAGCACTTTCATCTGACTGTGTAAGTTGAGGAATTCGCCATAAAACATATGTAAAACATCACTGATCTGCTGCTGCATGTGGATCTCTTTCTTTCACATTGTTGTTTTCCTACACTCATCATCCTCACGACAAACTAACTAGTAGTTTAACAGCTAAAAGGTTAAAAGGTTTCAGGTAATTATAGAATTTCTTGTCCCTGAATCTACTCAAAGAAACTCATCTTAGAGAAAATGCTTTAACAGAAACGGTGAAGACAAACGTTGGGTCACAGAAACCTCAGCCACCTCGGTTTTAGTATGCTGTGGCCTTGTCATTACACTTACACAGCCCTCTGCCAAGAGGAGGAAAAAACACACCTCTTTTGCTCCAGATTTAGAGTCTTTTCAAGTCTTTAAAAACACTAATTTCTGTAAGAACTGCCAACCTTTGCTGGAGTATTTGTTCTATTTCACTGTGTCCCAAAATGTCCAGCCAAACAGCTTGTGATCCAAAGTCTACACATTTTGTCTTTTTAAAGCGTGGTTATTGATTTCTATTACTCCTAATGACTAACATACACTTATACACAATTACTGGTGTGAACAAATCCCACAGACACAAAGGGGGCAGGAGATCCCTGTCACACCAGCATAAACCCACCTCTGCTGATAACTCTAATCCCCTGATCCACCCTTTATTCAGTCTTTTTGTTATCATACTGCGCTCAACAGTTTGTGCATTGATATTGTTAGTGAAGGAGAACGAGTTCCAACAACTGACAACAATTATCGTCAAGCTGCTAAATGAATTCCCTCTTCATGGAGATTAGATTTGCTTTAACTATGTAAATGTTAACCCAGTTACCCTCCTTCCTTTGAGCCTGCCAATGAGAAGAGTCGTCCACATGCAAATACTGCGAGCCTGGATAGTCACTACTTTAAAAACAGCAGCTATTGTCATTCATCTTCTCCAGTGAAAGGGGTCAGATGGCTAAAAGCCGCTTTGCTAATGGGACTAATGTGTGTGCAAACGGCACCATTAAGCCTCTCGTCCCCACCGGTCCACGAGTTGAGCGTTGCAGCAGCGCTCAGTCTCGTTTCTCTTAACTTTTCTGCCTCTCGGTTTCCGTTCATGTTCTGTAACTGCAGTTGATGATGTCTCCAAAAAGGCAAAGGGCCGAGGAATGATATTCCTATTCCTCAATGGAAACTTGCGCATTGTGATTATCATCACAAAACTATGCAAACCGCTGAGTTGTTATGAATCGGACTGTTTTTACGTTCAGTTTTCTAACCACCATATAAGTGGCCAACAACATGGTTTATGATGTCTGCATGAGAGAGAGAGAGAGACTGCGTTTCATGGCGTGTGAGTGACTGTGGGGGGTGAATAACAGAATGTTTGAAATCAAAGAGAGAAGCCCAAAATGTCTGCGTGCACAAATGTTGTAAAGCAGCTGAAAGGAAACAGTGACTGGCATTTTACCACAGCTGACTTGACCGTGCCGCCGGCTTAAGTGTAATTACAGAGAGAGCCCATGAATGGGAGCAATTTGCTTCGCCAATATTTTCTAGCAAGTTACTGAATAAGTAGCAGCTCGTGAGGAAACGGGTTGCAGTAGGAGGGTGGGGGAGGAGGAAAAAGGAAAAGGTGAGAATAGGCAAGATTAGAAAATATATAATAGCAGAGAAAACAAGAGAAAGCCCAAATAAGAGAGATAGTGTCAACCTCCCATCCAGGGTGAGCCTCACAATAAGAATGAATCATACTGAGTCTTAAACAGTTCCTGATGCTGACTCAAAGCCAGAGTGCAGCTCCATGCAATACTATTCAAATCCTTCCGTTTTTGAGCCTGTCAGCTTTACCCCAGCATGGAAGGAAAGAGGTGGTGAGTTCATCAACAGTGACTACTCAGCTGCTTCACCCACTGGAGGGATGAGCAGGAAGCCGGGATTTATTTCACAACAGAACGTGAGTGGGAAAGAGAAAACCAAACAAACGTCCTCGGCTGGAGTGTGGGCAATTCCCGCAAGTTGACCCTGTTTCGCGGTGAACTTAGCTCATCTATTTCTGGACACTTTGAGTTTCCCGATTTGCTCCTGAAGCCTGTGAACACCCGACTGTCAACTGCAGGGAAGCCCACATGGAAATGCTGCACTACAATCCAAAGTGTTCAGGAAGGGGGAAAAAAGAAAAAAGCAAAACAAACAATGCTCCATGCTCATAGAAACAAATAATGAAGTCAGTGAGTGGGTAAGTGATCTAGTGAGCCAAAAGTCACATGCTTCAGACTGCTCAGGCAGTTTTTTTTCTGCTCCTAGCTCTGTAGATGACTGAGCGCACTTATCCCTGATTTAGTTATAACTAAATCATTCACCTGCTGTGCAAACCTGTTTGCAAGTTAAGCCAAAGGAAGGTCTACAGAGTTATAGTTTATCTATTTGGACCAGACCTGAATTTATCTGTACCAAAACCCAGTTCAACAAAAGGTCAAGAAACGGGACAGTAAGCAAGATGGATCGTATTAACAAATCTCTCATCTCAGTGCAGGGTTCAGCTGGTGTCCTCCCTGTGGCTTCCAGATGAACGATAACCTGATGAGAATCAGACCAAGCTTGGACAGAAACTAATGCAACACAAGCCCCTGCCCATTATCCCACTGGGACACTCAGCTTCAGTTTTTAAAAATCAATAGAGAGCTTAAAAGAAGGGTTCAAAAAGTTATCAACCACTCCCCTTAGGGCTGATTTAGGGAGCTCCAAAGAATGATAATGAAGACAGACAGTTGGTCGTGACAGCGTCAGACCTTGCTGTTATTCTGTTGAGCGGCTATCAGCTTCAGCCACGTTGCTTGTTTCCAACTGAAAAACAGCTCCTGGCTGGATGGACTGACATGCATGACTGAAGTGTCTGGACAAGGTTATGCAACTGTTTTTATACGGACAGAAGTCGAGTCGACTGCAAAAACAACCACTGAACCATAAACCGACAGTTATTATAGCATCCAGCTCGTCTTTTTTCCCCTGGATCTCCCCGCTTCTGTCAATCCATCCATCCGTCTCCCCTTAAACCCCCTCCTCCACCTCTGCCCATATCTGTCTGTGGCCCCAGGAAACGCACACATCCATGTACAATTACACCAGAGGGGGGAAAATGGAGGTCAAACCAATGAACTCTTGTGTCTGTGTGCCTGTGTGTTCACGTCAGGAAGAGAGTTTTGACTGAGTAGGTAATCACAGGAGAGCAGGTGGCTGAGTCCTCCCTTGGGAAAACTAAGCCAAGCAGTGAAGACAAATACAGAACATCTGTGATGTGGCCACATTTGTAAAATAAAGGGAAAAAATAGATATAGGGATCATTTGAGTGCAGTAAGTAGTAAGAACAGTGTGTAAAGTGTATGCAAAGAAGATGATAAGAACATCTAACGGGTATGTAAATGAAACATCTGCCTTTTACTCCAACTTCCTTTTAAGCTGACATCAAGTTAAGATGTGCCAGACATAGAAGACTACATAAACAGTGCATACAGACACAACATTAACATAAACAGATTCTTATAGTGAGTCAGGTTAGCAACACAACCAAGTTAGCTAAATTGTTATAATGCCTTAACTAATTCAACTCTTAACCCGAATTTGCACTGTAATATGGTGAACAGAGGTGGCGGACGTTAGCAGGCAGCAGTGCAAACAACACTGTTGAGTTTATGGATTTATTGATTTAGCTAGTTCTGACCACAATTAGTTTATTAGAATGTAATTAAAATTGCTGCCCGAGTTCTAGTGTATTTTTGCTAAAGGTCTGATACCCATGAAGTTTAGGTTTTAAAACTAAGAACTATTCCTGAGCTCGAGTGCAAAAGGTACGTAGGTATATAAATTAGACTGCCTGATATTTGCATATCATTAGCCATTTTTCACCCTTTCAACCACTGATAGAAAATGCATATTTTGTTAACAACTGTGATCCTAAACTACATATTGTCAAGAGGCACTTCACACTTATTGGTGTGACTCTCTTGAGTGGGGGGTAAACTATACCTATGACCCCCCCTCAGGAGGGTCCCATGAGGCTCACACCCTTCAGTGGTATGTAAATTACTTGTGTGCTGTGCTTCTATTTTCACTTTAGAGCTCATTAGAGTTACACGGCTCAATTGTAATCTCAGAGCGCCACCCTCCAATCGTCCGAAATGTTAAATATCTGTGAGATTTATATAGTTTAAGCACACTGTAACTGCTTGAGGTAGAGCATCAGAATTTATAATGACCCTTGATTTCCTTTACACGTGCAATGAGTCTCACCACAGCCACTTTAGACTTCTGTACAGAATGTATGTAGGGTGTACAACAGGGTACCCCAGTCCTCGAGGGCCGGTGTCCCAGTAGGTTTTAGATCTCACCCTGGGTCAACACACCTGAATCACATGATTAGTTCATTACCAGGAGAACTTCAAGACATGTTGAGGAGGTCATTTATCCATTTAAATCAGCTGTGATGGATCAAGGACACATCTAAAACCTGCAGGGACACTGGCCCTCGTGGACTGGGATTGGGGACCCCTGGTCTACAACATAGCCTATACAAGTGCCCACTGCCAACCTTTATATGCCTGTGAAGGCTTAAATTTATGATGCAGAAAAAAGATTCAGCACTGTCATTTTTATTATAATTTTCCCCCCAGAAATATAACAAACTGTAAGAACTTCGACAATTCTTTTCCCTCCTATTCTGGGTACTAACATGCAGGGCTACCACTCATTGACTTTACAATGCCTGAAGACATTCTGCCATTGCTGCATCTCCAGAGGATAAAATAACTCTGATCCAGCAAAGATTTTTTGCTGATTACAGAATCCACTATGATATACCCACTCCCCATCTGATCGGAGTTTGCATCAGTGGCTGGGGGCAACTACTCCCACCTCAGTCAGCTGGAGCTAATCTATTAGACAACGCACACTCACACCTTGGGGTATTAAAGCATTAAAGTAAATATACATACTAATGCAATTACATGGTAGCTGCATACTAAAAGGACATAACTGTGTTAAGCACAGTCATCTGCTGCCATAAAGAGACACACACACACACACACACACCTCTGCTGTAATGGGAGAGTCTGAAAGCAACCAAAAATAAACAAATAAAATAAAAGAAGAAGAAAAGGGAGGAGACTGAAAATATCCCCCCTTCAACACGGTGATGAACACATTCCAGACACAATCACCCATCGCTGTCCTTAGTCAGATAAAGAACACACACACACACACACACACACACACACACACACACACACACACACACACACACACACACACACACACACACGAGGGAGAGCGGTCACTGGAGTCGCCTCAGTGGCTAGGCCTCAGAGTTGGCTTGGATACAAGGAGTGTTTTGCTCATACATGTACAGACACACTCACACAGGACACATTCTTCTGCCTTTAACCCTTTGTGTAATCCTTGATTAGCTCTCACACTGGTGCTGAAAGCCTAAAAATCATTCATGAAAAAAAAAGAGTGGGGAAAAGTCAACTTGTTTAAAGAGAGATATTATGTGGGAGATAAAATGAAGCACCTCTGGAGTGACAACAGTCAGCACAACACGCTGCTCTACAACAAGAATTTAAATTCAGTTTTAGGGAGGGTATATTGTTGGCTCTGCCAGTACACGTGAAGCTTCGCAGCCCCTTACAGCTGAGAGAATGAAAATAGTCCTGGAGCAGAGCTGCCAAAAGTTATAATCAAGACCAGTATTTTTAGGTTTGGCACCCAACTCAAGGACAAGGAAGTACCAGCAGTGACAGAGAAACAGACAATAGTACCCGCTGTGATAATGCAGGATTTCATCCAGAACTGAATGTCATTTTAATAAAACAGGGAAAAGAAAACCAAATCGTTCCATAAACTGACAACTTTGAAGCGTGACCTGTCCTGTGGATACCTGCCAGAGGAACAAGCCCTCCCCTCCGTTTAGATAAACAACCCCCACGTGTACACACTGCTGACTGTGCTCAAACAGGAGAAAAAGCAAAGTTTACTTACGTTCTTTCAGCTGTTAGCCGGCTCTAGGAAACCCAAAAAGAAATACTGAACGTGTCAGGCTGAAGGAAGCAGGCAGCAGCTCCGAGCGTGCAAAGCTGTTCTCAGCTGCTGCGAGTTGCCAGTGAGCCAGTACTTGTGTATGAGCCAAATGAACACTAACCTGGAGGGAGTCTCTGCTCTTCAAGCTATAAGACTCTCCCCCGTCTCCTCCCACATCCAAGAGAAGACTCCACCTCAGGAAAAGACCGGAGGAGGAAAAAAACCCAACACTAAGTGAACAGGAAGCCTGAGTTTTTCCAAGCAGTGACACAAACCTTCCTGACACTTTAACTCTTTGAAATTGTCCCGTCAGTTACCCAGAACCGTGGCACCGTTAATACCAGAAAAGGTAAGGGGCTTTGTGTATCGCATCCGGATGCTGAGGTATTGCCAGTCACTATAAGGGAAAAATACATTGTAGGTCATTGAAACGCTTCGGCAATCAGCATCTAGTGGAAGCAGTATGTAAACTGTATGTGTTGCACTCGAAGCAGATTTCTTTGCAAACACTGAATTACTAGTTTTTACCTCTTGACCCTCTCGTCCCCATGAAGACTTTTCAGAGCAAATAAATAAATAAATCTAAACTTAACTCTGTGGATTCTATTTTATCATCTCATCTTAACACTGTAGAGATAAACAGCCAGTCCCTCTGGAGGAGAGATGCACTGATCTAACATGTGGACTGTACAGAATTCTGATCTTGACTTAAAAAGCTGCAGCAGATATGAGTGACAACAGCTGATGGGACAGCAGCAGCTAGCAGGAGAGCTAATGTACTCCCAAAAATGCCTGCGACACAGTCTCCCTTTACTTAAATGTAAAGTTAGTCAACTGTGGTCACACCAAGTTGGTTCGACTGGAAAGTTCCAGCAAGAAGATGCCTTGGCCTCCATCTCTTATCTACTTTCACTTGTTATCTTTATTCAGAGAGACATTATATAAAGGTAGAAACTAGCAGGGCATTTGTTTGTGTAACACTTAAGTGTTGTCATCAACTCAATTATTGTTATTTCACTTCCTGCCGTTTTTTGCAGCTCTACAGACGGGTGGAGGGCGGGTGGGGGCGAGGGTCGGGAAAAGGAGAAACTAAACTGTAAATAACAGTTTCATGCAGCAGAGTAATGACTCTCACGCAGAGCTTAAATTAGATTTGTGCCTTAGATAAATATTGCCCATCTCAGGCCTAATTTGATTTGACATTTTCCTAAATGTTAAATACAGATTTAGTACATTTATATTACTGGATTTATTTGCAAAGTTAAAGCAAAGTCCACCCTGATGTTGACTTTCTAATAAAAAATAAAAAAAAGATTAGGTGCTAGGTCAGTGTTCAGTATCGGTACCCAAAGCCAACATGTGCATCTAATCCCAAATGGAAACGTGGCATCCCTAATCATAAGGGCTTTGTTTGGTGTCAACCTCCAAACCATTTTAATGGTAGAGTTGAGAGGACTACAATTTTCCAGGTGGGTTCCATTTAATTTACCATCTGTGACAACGTCCAAATAAAAACACTCGTGGCTTTCTTCAAGTGAAATATTATCCTTTTCCTCTCCAACAGATCCAGAGATAACGATGTATGCTAGTAAGTGAGAAAGTCGGGAAGGGGAGTGGCTTAACAGACAGTGGGCGAATTCAAGAAAGCAAATATTATTATCAAAGAGGTGTGGCTGAGGATATCCTGGCTGAGGAAAACAGCAGTTCAGGAGAAGCCTTACCACTGGAATACTTCGACAGGATTCCTGGAATACTATATATAAAGCTCTTTGTACTATATTTAAAGAACACAAAAAAGCAAAACAAACTTGTCTTCTACATTCAATATTTTTTTTTGTTAACATCTTCCACACTGTGGCTGAGCTGCTCTTGCTCATTACAGTCTGAACACACAGCAGCGCTTGTTTAAAGGAGCAGTCAGGGCAGGCTGCACCAGACCAACAAACACATACACAGATTCAGGTGCTCACAGTCACAGGTCTGAGTCCGACACACATGAACACAGCGGTCAGTCATTCTTCTGAGGCAGCAGCAGTAGGAGGGGACTTTCACTCCATGCTGCAGAGGAAACGCTGTCGACGGCTCTGCATTAACACAACGGGAGTAGGTTAGATAGGACAATAAATAGTTCAGCTGGGTTGACACATTCCAACACCTTCTCTACCTCCACTTAGGCTCTCCTCCCTCCCTTCCTTCCTCTCCTCCCTTCCACTTCATCACAAAAACTTCTCTATTCCCCCTGCGCATAATCTGCTAACTTTTATCCTGTGTCAAAAATTTTCCCCTTTTAGCCTCTCCCTTTCTGTTCCACATTCTCTCGTCACGCATGTAGAGCTACATGATCTCTGACCAGTATGACATATTAGCCTCTTTTCCCCCACTACTACCTTCTCGGCTTGACCAGACCATTAGGGTTTTCAATTAGGTGGTAGGACAGGTACCAGGTACTTTTTAGTACCTACTTGACGTAAGCAGGTCGAGATGAAGGGGGGAGTGACATCAATGGATGAGTCATGACAGCAACTCCTTCACAAGAATCAAACCCGCCATTTTTGAAACCCACAACAAGTGAAATGGCTAAACACAAACTGACACCATGGTCCAATAATGAGGTGTTTACTATTGGTTTAGCAGCAGGTATATATAACGACACCCCACGCGCATTATGTTGGTTCTCAAATGTAATGGAAAAATGACCGAAACCCAGTAGAGTAGAGGCAGTGCTAGTGAACAAGAAGCAATTGTGAACACCCTCCAGGCAGAAAAAAAGAAACCAGAGATGTGACAAAAACTGCAATTTCTTTCATGGTCACTTGAGTTTGGCTTTAAAAGGTGAGTCAATCTCAGAGGGATCCCATTTTAAAATACCCAGCTTAAGAGAATTATTACTTTATATATAAGCAGTTATCCAGTTCTCTGTAATGCACCTGTATAGTTTATTTGGCTAACTGATGCTAGCAAGATTGCTAACCCAGCTTGCTAGCATTAGCTAATAACTTCTGTGCATTTATTTGGGAAGTTAAGCTAAATCATTACATTTATTTTTATGATTGCCACACCATAAAACTGCAGATCAGCTGAGCAAAAACAACAACAAAAGTTTACTATTTTAGGGTAGAGTCAGCAATTGGCTACTTCAGACTGACATCATTAGCCATCTCAAGCCCAAAAAAACCCCCCAAACAAACAAATATAATGATCAATGATGAGATGAGAGATGATGATGATGAGATAGCCTTTATTTGTCAGTTGCAGGTCTTTTGCCCACAACCGAGCATCACATTGGGGAGACAGGTCAAATATCCCAGCATTTACAGAAAAGATAATTTAGAAGATTTAGTGGAGTTACAAGCCAGCCATAAAATCTAGAGCTGACATATTTCAGAACGATACCTCTGTAACTCTGAACCTAAACAACGATGTAAAACTAAATACCAGATTTTATTATGAAATTATATTATGATCCTATAAGGACAGGACTATATCGTGTAAAAAGGATGCTGAAGCACCAAGACAGGATCATACTTCTTTGCAAATGCGGAATTTTCTCATATATTTAAATTCATGACTGAGACAGAGACATGGTGCTCTAAGTATCTGAAGCAGTCAGAGAGCGTTCCCTGAACATCTTCCATTAACACACATGACTGTGCTCTGAGACTCAGAGGAGGCAGGTGGATTAAATGTATTAGTGTGAATGTGTGGTGCCTTCTCATTTGGCAAATACTCTGATCTATGATACACAGATGCAGACACAGGCTCTCATACAATGTTGAGTCAATATTGACAACCTACTGGAAGTCCCCCCTCCCCTACACACACACACACACACACACACACACACACACACACACACTTTTTGATTCCGAGACCACCGAAAGAGTGTGAGGGGGGATAAAGTTACAGCTCCACCCACTTTCTCTCATACCACAACTATAATCTCTGTCACTTGATGCACACACCCAGATACACTTCACAAATGCAGGGACTTGCTGGGCTAACATGTCACATTACTCTTCCCGTTACATGCTGGCATGTCCAAGCAGGCCCAGTGTCTGTCATCCTGCAGGAATCAAACTGAGGTAACAGAGTAGGAGTGTTCACATAACTCACAGAAAACTTCTCAAAAGCACTGCTGTAAGAGCTTGGATGAAAAGCACAAGAAGTTACGTTCCTGTGGTCCAAGTTTCTCTATAGATACTCCTGCTAGTTCGCACAGTGAAGGGCATTTGCATTCAGAGACCACAGAATTTCAGTGACACTGGACAACTTTAAACTTCTTGTTTCCAGCAGTTATTTAAGTGGGCAGGTCCCAAGTTAAACTGAAGCAATTACCAAAGAGCGAAGGTTACCATTGATTGACATATGACAGGGCGGTAAATGGACATCCCCATACACAACAAAGTGCTGCACAAAGAGCAAACTGCTTTCTGTGTGGATGCACCTAAAGTGTTGACCAACACAGAGCAACATGATACTCAAGGACTCTTCACCACACAGTTCTTACTGAGGCAGTTACTCATTGAACATTTCAGGTTTCATTAGATTTTTGCAGGCACTGCTGTAAATGAAATTGTACGTCCCCACTAACCCAGGAAGAGGATTTTATTCATACTGCCCACTTCTACTCTACTCTATTAAAAAGGTACTCCAGAGATTCAGTAATGCAGTTTAAGTAGGAGAATTCACAGGAGGCAGATTTTAAAGCAGTCCTGTTCTGTTCACGTGCACATCCACATTTTAAATTCCAGGACTTGACTGTGACTGTGACACATGAATTGTGTTAAAAGGTACTCAAGTGAACTTTCTTCTGATTGCCTCCCTCACCCCCAGCATATACAAAACACACAGTAAGGAAACATATGATTGGTCACTGGTTGAAATAGGTATACACTGGATTCTACACTTCCCTCAAAGGTTCATCTCATGAATACTTTTTCATCGTTTGGTTATTTATTTAAACAATTGTACATTCAACTATTTCCCAGGCATAAATACTCCTGAATAGCTATATTGGTGGGATATAAAATCTAAATCAGAATCCTTTAATAATCCCTAAGCAAATTATTTAAACAAATTGTAAACAAAACAAATAAATGCAGCTAATTTTTTATATCTGAACACCTGAGAAAAAGGTTGAAGCTCCAGCAACAATATGAGTGTTACAAAACTAAACCAACAAGTGGCCTTTAACATCCAAACTCCTCAGTGCAAATCCTGTGATGTCAGAATCAAACTATGATCTCAAATTCTTAAAGAGAGAGAGCGAGAGAGAGAGAGAAAAAAAATGGCAGCATAAAGAAGAATGATGCCGCTATGAATTCTTTGCTGGTTAATTACATTTTTACTTGACCTGCAACCACTCAAGCTCTAAAAACCCAGCAACACAACACGTACCAATGCTGTGCCTCAAAGCAAGGCTACTCACTACAACCCTGCACATTACTTTGCTAATGGTGCATCACGCCTTGTTTAACAACAGTAACTGGATGCTACAGGTCCATTATGGAATTAGTTGGAAGAACACTAATGACTGTGTACCAGATTACATCTGTGCTCATTAAGAACACCGTTTACTTAAGCTTACATCAATCCGCACACTGTTTCAGCGAGCTGGGAAAGGCGGCTCAGGAGTAAACCTGCATTTATTTGCTCTTAGGAGAGCCCCTCCTACAGAGTTGGAAAGTCATTTTCTGACTTGTTTTGAAGTCAGAAACAAAATTGCCCTTAAAAGACCGTGTGCTTTGTTCAAACAACATGTGGATAACAGTTTCCCAGAATATAGCTCATTTACCCGTCTTACTCACGTATGCTGATAATAACTATGTTTTCCCACTATGGTAAGCTACCCCTA